CGGGAAGGCGAGGCCGGCGTGAGCGCGGCCGCCGCGCTGCTGGAGCACGTGCCGGGCGCCGAGCGCATGCTGTGCGACGCGCTGGACGCGCGCGTGGTGGCGGTGGGCGACCCGCTTGCGCGCGTCACCGTCCTCGTCGACTTCAGGTAAGGGCCCCTTCACACGTGGCCACAGTGGCCCGCTTCCGAAAACCCGCGTCTCGTAGCAAAGCATTGGTTTGAATGGAGATCTTCCCACGTGCACCGCTGTGGCGTCCGTCGCCACATCCTCGCCACGAGGAGCGCAGGACATACGCGCCGCCGTTAGCAGAACCCTGCTTTAAAACACGATATTCCAACTGTGCCGACGGTCGCGGCGTTTTAAATGCCGTTGTTCGTCGTCTCCAGAGGGTCGGCGAAACCTACTCCTACAGAACCCTCCCCCATCAGTCGGCGGCGGTGCGGCGGTGGCGTGCAGTGGTGGCGGCATGGGGATAGCCCTGATGCTTATCGGAAGCGCGCTGCTGTGGCGACGCGTTGAGGCAACCTACAGGACGCGCCGCGCGGGCAATTAGGATACCTTTACACGTAGACGGCAGCGCGCTACCGTGCACCGCCGCTGGTAGCAAAGCATTGGTTTAAATGGAACTCGTCGCTCGTGCGTCGGATTAGGGCTGCGGTATCTTTCGGGGACAGACGCCTGCCACGAGCAGCCCTCGAGGGATTCCGCGCCACCGCTCGCAAAGCATTGGTTCAAATGGATCTTTCCACTGGGACACTCGCCGCAACGTTGTACCTGATACATTTCTTTGTTATCAACGCGTCACCACCGCGGCACAACTTTGTTTATTTTTTTAAATGAAAAAACATATATTTTTTTACATCATTCTAAGTTGTTTAAAAATAAAATGCAATGATATAATTATTGTTAATATTCGAAAAGTGTTTTACAAAAACATTGCAATTAGAACATGGTAAACGTCATGCCGCAGCGCGCAAAGAAAGCTGACCTTGCGCGCTGCTTAGAAATGTGCATCGCGATCGACGGGAAACATGGGGCTCATGACCTGAAAATAGCCAATGTCTTGTGCATTGTCATTTTTAGAAACGTTTAATATGAACTTGTTATTATGAATATTGGTATTTTCCTTAGTTTTCAGTTCCTCATTTTGTTTTGTTTTGTTCGTTAAGAATACCTTTATTAGGGTTTTCATCTGTTTTGAATTATTTCAACTTACAACTTTGCTGCAGAATTGTTACGAAATGATAAAATAAAATAAAATAAATGTACTGCAAATTCTCCTCAGTGTACACGTGGTTTACTTCTTTTTTTTATGGAATTCGATAGGTTCCTTAAATGTAAATTTAATAATGGTGCTTAGATACGCATCTCCACTGAAATTTTGTGATTTCGAACACCCCTCCTTCCTTGCACGTGAAGAACGTGTGAAAGTTAAAAACCGAGTTCATGAGCGTGACAGTAAGAGCACAATCGGCGAACTTTCTCGTTTTCCGACAAGGTGCGTCAACTCACCTACTATGTCAGCAAAGTCAGCTGTTCTGCGCGCTGCGACATGGCGTCTACCAAGTCGTAATTGCTCTGTTTTGAAAAACTACTTAATGATTATTTACAATATTTATATCATTGAATTTCATTTTTCAATCATTCTAGAATGATGCTTAAAAATATATACTTCCATTAGAAAAGAGTTGGGCCAAAAGCTCAAAAATTACGTACGGTTCTAACAAGAAACCGAAATATGTTGTTTTCCACATGATTTGCAACAATATAGATAAAATGGCATTTCGATGCTTCAACTCGTTTTCAAGATATTTGCTGTGACCAACTTAGGTGGTCCATCTTGTGTACACGGGCGAGGAGTCAATTTAAGTTGCGTCTATACTTTGGCATAAAATGTATTTAATTTTTATGTGGGCTACACTTAAAGATGTTTTTATTAATCGCGGAAGTTGTCGATCGAAGCCTCGCTGTTGACATAAATGTTCGCGCAATCGGCTGCATGAAATTCGTATTTTTTTGAGAAATCTCTTTTTAAGCCCAGAAAGTACATTATTTTCAATTACCGACATGTATTCTGTGGATTACACACGTTTCATTTATCCACTGGTGGAGAAAAGAAACTTGTATAGTTATTTTGTGACCTATCCGTGTGTGCGGAATTACCTAAATCAAATGACTAGCAATTCCAATTGTTTGAAGAATTCCTTTTGGTGCAACTGCTTTGAGTTCGTGCCTTTTAAGTGAAACAACGATCAAGGTCGTGGTCGTTCGTGCCAAGATTGCAAATTAAATTGGACGGTTGACTTTCCAAGACACTTAATCTTAAAAGTCGATCTTAGCTTGCTACCGAGTAAAGACTACGCCGCGTGCAGTGATACCAAGAATTTTAATGAAATCATGGGAGTTCTTTACTCATCCAAATCCAATTGCAACTTCCCTTCACCTTGATATTTTTTGAAGCGTGATCTCAAAATGAGAGTGTACAACTCATGAGTATTGTTTTGTTGGAAGGAGTATGCTAGGGAAGCAAATTGAATCTAACATTGAGTGTTATTTACGAGACGTGTACAATTTCATCATTCTGACTGTGCGCATTCTAGACAAAACAAATGACCTCGCTAGCATGTGTGCCTGGCGTCGAGCCACGCTATGCACCGACTCACTCATTGCGCAACAACTGTTACGAACACGTTACTATTACATATGACGTGATCCCGTGGCATTCCCAGGTTTAAGAGAAAATGTTTGAAAGATTTCTATCAACGATGACAAAAGTTTTTGAAAGGGGTAGCGCTTTTTCTGATCCCATTGCAACCATTAACTACATTCACTTTTTTTCTTCATTTTTTACATTCATATTTTGTTTTTGTTTCTTTCATTGTTGATACTTGATGAGGTTGTCATAACGAACCTGAAAAACAGTAACCAAGAAATGGCATTACCATTTCAACTTTCCCAAAATCATTTGATTTTATACTCAACGGTCTTTCCTAGAACTAATTTGGAATTTCCAAATTAGGTAATAATAAATCAACAGGACCGGATAGAATTTTGGGTGAAATTCTAAAATTAGGAGGGGAGCTATGTTATCGTATCTATTGCAGTTTTTCGAGATATCAATGAACAATTCATGAATTCGTAGGGATTGGAGAGATAATCGCCCTGTAAATCTTACGTCTGTAGCGTGTAAGCAAATGGAACATTTAGTAGCAGAATACTTACGCGGAATTTCGGATATGAATAACCTCATTTACGAAGGACAACGCGGTTTCAGAAAAGGATATTCATGTGAATGTCAGGTAGTCACTGTCAGTGAGGACATTGCTGATTCTCTCGAAGAAGGTTTCATCGTTCACGCAATTATTATAGACTTCACCAAAGCGTTCGACCTCATTTCCCATGATAAATTAATCCCTACAAAATAGTAAGCTTAACATACACAAAATAATTGCTTTCTGGATTCCAGAATTTCTCAGCTCGCGTAATCAAAGGGTGTGAATTGGGTCAAATTTCTCTTCAAGGGCAGAAGTAACGGACGGAATGCCACAGGGAATTCCTAGGTCCGTTGTTTTTATAGCATTAATTATATTTGGCAGGGAATTAAATCAAAAATATGTATTTTTGCACATGACTGTATAATCTATCGGGAAATTAAGGACACTAGTGATGGAGAAATATTGCAAGCTGATTTAGATAGGCTAGAATCTTGGGTTATCACAAATGAAATGAAAGGAAATCCCAGTAAGTGCACGTTTGTCAGATTCGCGTGTTTTAGAAAGACAGATGACGTCACTTAAAAATTGGGAAATCAGAATATTCCGAGGGCTTAATTCTGTAAATATTTGGGAATTGTACTAAGTGAGAAACTGGAGTGGGCAGGACACGTAAACTATGAAGTGAAAATCGTGGAAAGCATTAGACTTTTTTATTAGAGTTCTTAGGGAAGGAAGTGGAAAATCAAGAGAATTAGGGTGTATCTATTAGGGTGTGTCTAGTACGTCCGATATTGGAATATGGGTTCACATGTTGGGACCCATATCGTTTACGGCAAATAGAATCTCTCGAAAAAGTACAAAAATATTGTTTGTGGGGAGTATTTGCAGCCACTATTTAGAAAACGCTACCACCGGAAATATTCCATGTATTTCTATGTAGGAAAATATATATTCTATTCTATTAAAATATCTCGCGATAAGAGGCGGTCGGCGGTGGATGCGTGTGAAATGTTCTGACGCTTTTCGGTGACGCCACCGAGTGGCTCCAGTGAATGCAGCCTTCCTCTCTCGCGGTCAGTAGCGGTGGGCGGTGGCTGCGTGTGAAGGGCTCTGTCGCCTCTCGGTGGCGCCGTCGAGTGGCTCCGTGAAAAGACAGCCTTCCTCTCACAGTCACAGGCGGTCGGCGGTGACTGTATGTGAAGGGCTGTCGGTGGCGCCGCCGAGTGGCTCCGTTTGAGAGCTGTGAAGCGAGGGCGTGGGCTGCAGTGGGGCGCTTCCCGTTGCGCAGCCTGCTGGTGCCGGAGGGCGCGTGCGGGCGCCGCCTGGCGGTGGCGCAGGAGCTGTTCGCGCGCGGCGGCGAGCGCGCGCTGCCCCTGCTGCGCCACCCGCTGCTGCAGGCGCTGCTGTACCTGGAGTGGCGGCGGCGGCGCCACGCGGCGCTGGTGTCGCTGCACCTGGTAGTGTACGTGGCGTACGTGGGCGCGCTGGCCGCCTACCTGGTGGCGCAGCCGAGCGGCGCGGCGGCGCGTGACGGCGCGCGGGCGGCGCTGTTGGCGCTGGCCACCACCGCCGGGTTCGTGGCGCTGCCCTTCGTGCTGCTGGGCGGCGTCGCCGAGGACGACCGCCTCTTCGCCTTCATCACCAAGGTCTTTTACTCACGCTTCCGACTGGCATCTATTGAAGCCTTGAAATAAAAAGGGTGTAAGTGCCATTTTCGTACTTTCGAGAAAAATGAGTTCATATATAGGTTAAAACGTTTGGCACACACAACGCCTACCATTTATAATCATACCGTAACACTATCAACAAATGCATATGGATTCAAATGCATCTTCATGTTATAGGGTTTCATTCATTCATCATTATTCTGGTGAAAACGTAAATTCAAAAGGAATGGCACTTACATCCTATTTACTTTCGCGCTGTAGCTTACGCAGTAGAGAAAAAATTATGTAATGCTGCGCGAAAAAACAGCTAATTTTCGGGGGGAAAAGGCTTATTACAGCAAAAGTGTATAAATCTAGTTGCTAAATTTAGAAAAAAATACTCTAGCAAAAAGTCTCTCCGTCACTCCGTCTGTCCGTATGTCTGCTATCTGTCCGTCCGTCTGAGAACAACGCTAGCGTCTAAACCGTGCCGCCAATTTTAGAGAAAATTGATATTCTCCAACCGATCTGACGATCTGATGTCACGGCCACTTGAATTTAAAACCGATACGTTCGTTTTGGGGGGTAATATACATGAATCCCTTAGTACAATTTCCAAATTTAAAACAAAAAATGCGCAATCGATTTCGATTAAATCTTGTTGTTGGATAGTATAAAGGACGTTTAAGAGAATGGAGTTTGTCTCATGTTCGTTGAAAACCCTGCTTTTTTGAAAATCGCAATTGTTTTCGGCGTCTTCCTACAACTAAAATATTAAAAGTAGAGATTTGTCCCTGAATAAAATCTTTTCCTTAAAGATAGATTTAGAAATAAGATCTTGTACAATTTTTCGAAATTTGAATTTTCGAAATATTTTACTAATTTTGTGTGAAAATACGAGTGAGAAAGTACGTGCTGTTTTAGCTCCACTAGTTACTAAATTTCCTACCATCTCAGATGGCTCTGATCATTAATTGATGTCAAGCAGTGCCTCAGACCTGGAGGTCCTAGGGTTCGCGCCCCGACAGTGGCAGGATTATCGTTACTAACTACATAGCTAGGGAGAATTCATACGCTGTCTGAAGAGTTCTAGGGACCAGCTGCTCTGATCGGTAGTTGTACGTGGTTTCTCCAATGAACACCAGGCGAATACGGCTGCGGTGGTGTAACGGTTAGCGTACTGGACTGTTGTACCCAAGTTGGCGGGTTCAAACCCGATCGAAGCCGTGGATTTTTAAGGGCGAAAAAATCCTTCGTACGCCTTCCTTCGGAGGGGAAGTAAAGCCGGCTGTCCCATGTTCGTAGATTTACTTGCATGTAAAAGATCCTCAAGCCTAAATGACGCCTCTGAGCTAAATTCAAATCGCCTGTTTCTCGCCCAAGAAATACCTTCTTTCTCTGCTATATGAAAGGAGCGTAGCGAAATTTGCGTGGTCAGACGGAAGAGCGGGCCTGATGGCCCGAGTCTCGCCACGTAAAATAAGGCATATTCAATTCAATTCAATTCAATACCGGAGGAGTACCCGTACAAACTTGTAACGGACCGCGAGCCATCTTCCCTTAATCTTCCTTATCCTATCCTCACCCCTTTACTTACACACACTTACACTAACATGCACTCGTACACTACCACACATGCCGGGAGACCGGTCGGGCGCTTAGAGTTTCTCCCAGTTGAGGCGGTGATCTCCTGGTGGGAGGTATGAGAAAACCCCGCAAAACTGACGGAGGTCGGCGTCGGATCTCGCCATCCTAAATAAAATCCGCCAAAGATCATCGCAACTTTCCGTGACAAAAACACGCACTACACATGCGGGTTTAATCTCGTCGTCAACTTATTCGACCTCTTCAAATTCAATTTCTTCCTAGTTTTCTTTGTCTTCACGTTCTACTATTTCTACATTCTACTTCTACTTTCTACTACTTTTTCGTCTTCGTCTTTTTCTTCCTCGTTTTGTACCTTTTAGTTTTCTTCCTCTTCGCTTTCTTTACCAGTTACAAAGGCTCAGTCGTTGCAGCTGTTACTTCCGCTCTGTTGCTGATATGCAGATCCGGAGTTCCTACTGTGGCAGATTTCAAACGCTTCAAAATGAAGCATTTGCGAAATAATTTTGTTAAGGATGATGTCTATCCTATATTTTACATAAAGGTTTTGTATTGTACCTCTAAATTGTGAGCGGATATCTTTTACTGTATTTTGTTTGTATTTTGGAGAATATCAAAATGCTTGACCGGGTATACTCTAGTCTCATATATTTATGTTTTGAAGAATAACAATATGCTTATTTGTCAAGAGGGCTGTGCCAATCTGTGAATGTGTAGTGTGAGCTTTTTAACTATTTTAATATTAGATCAGAAAGACGCGATCTACGTCACACTCTATTATTGCCCTTTCTGTATTGTTGAATTGTGCTCCCCTGTAGTTAGTGAACTCACGTGCATTTCCAAATCTAACTTAATGGTCATGCAGTGTTCAGTACACTCGACACAAACAACTAGAGTAATAAATTAATAAGAATTAATTTTAAAATTTCTTTTTACAATATTACCTAAACAAAACAATATAGTATATAAAATAATATACGGTTATATATATCCTACAATATAAACTTCATCTCTATGATTGTATCAGACTATTCTCTCTCTTTTAGAATATAATGTATCTTTTTTTTTTGGGGGGGGGGCTTTGAAAAGATGAATGTGATTGATCGGGTAACTGTTCTGATGTTTTGCACTTGAAATGCCGAGACTAGCATTTATCAAAAAATTATTAGTCTTTCTTTTATAATAATCGAATGAAATAATGTAGTTATGATGAATTTACTACACACCAACTAGAACTACTTGCAACTTTTCCGTGAGATATCAGAGCCTCTTTTGAGCTATTAAAAGAATGCAAACCCGTACGCCACGCCTTTCTCAAACAAACAACTTCGGACGTCGACTTCCTCTGTTTGCGCCTCCTCTTATCAATGTCCTTCTCCCGGCGAAAGCACTTTGCTCAGGAGGAGATACGGGCTGCTTTTAAAGGCTCGGAACCTCACGTAGAAGGAGAGGTCGCGGATACTTACGCGGATACCGACGCTCACGACAGCTGTTTGCAAAGTACTCTGCGGACGTGTTCGCACTCGTTCAATGGCTTCTCAGTCATAGGGAGATGGAGACTATGGGTGATGATGGAATGTGAGAAAGAACACCTGCTATTCTCTCGAATCATGTTTATGTACAGTCTAAGCAGGACCAGACCTAGACAGTTTTGGGTCCGGGGCAATGCTGAAACGTAACTTCTATCCCCCCCTCCACAAATAAAAATGTGGAATTTGTATCCATAAACTATATGAATTATTTGATTTCAAATAATAATATTAATAATATTTAATAATAATATTTACAACTTTTAAGCTTGAAAAAAATTTTGGAAATAAATTTCAAATAATGCTTTTAATTAAAAGAATTTAGTGATCAAATAATACAATTTCCACGATGAGCTTAAAACGCAAAAAAATTGTGTTTGGTTAGTGTTCACACATGTGAAATACATGACATAATAAATATAAATTTCAGTAGACCCTATTTTATTGTTAGCCATATTTGATTTATTTCATGGATTCCTACCTTATAAGTGACAACAATAACTAACTATTTAAGATAACCAATTAATCGAAAATTTTATGAAATATCAGACTACTGCACCGCGACTTATAAACTTACGATTACGATTTTCTCCAGTTCTATTTTTTTTTTTTTCAATTTTTTGAAACGTGCGGGACCTTGGGTGATGGCCCGGTCTGCCCATGCCTAGCGCCGGCACGGAGTCGAACTAAACAATCTGAAGATAGTTCTGAATTCATAGAGTAACATAAATACTTATTGACTATTTTGGGAGTCATTAGTTAGAAGATATTTAAAATAAGCCGATTCTATCCTCGGTAATTTACTTCATTGAGTTCTGATTTCAATCATTTTTGTAATTACCCAGGAGACTTTAATTAAAGAATTGCACTGGAAGGTGGATAGTATGAATTAAACTAACAACAGTAACAACAACAATAATTGTACTAATCAAAATAATAGATTTGTTTTGATTTGATCTATGTTTAAAATATTTTAACAATGGTTTTGGTAATAATCATTCCCATCATTTTCAAAGTATAAATGAATGAATGCATTTCATTTGTTGAAACAAATAATATATCAAAGAATATTAAACGTATTGATTAAGTATTATAATCATTAGGTGAATTTCAAAGAATTCACGTCTATCATGTCTCCAATGCATTAATTTTTCGCAGTCTTGTCAGCGGCGAAGCTGGCTTAGTCACGCAAGGGAACTAATTGGTGTTTCACCCTCCCACGGTAATCGAATAAAAAAATTTATATTATAAAATTGCCTATAAATATTTTGTTGAAAATGAAAAAAAAAGTTTATGGAATCAATTTCGATGTTGGCAGATTACATGTTCTTTGTTTCCTCATTAATTAAATTACTTTTAATTAGTTATAATAGTTATTTACTAATGAACACGAATTTGCTAGTGTATTTATAAATGTTTTTCCAGATTTCAGATCTGTAAGGAATCAGTGGAGTTAAACTCGAATAAATGTGTAATTAAAATGTAAATCAATAATGGAGCTTGCACATTTTGACGCGATGGCGATTTGAAAAATAATTAGAAAAATCTGAATTGACTTTTTAAAGTTATCGTTAAACTTTACAATCTAATTTTTGTAATTAAATAATGATGTAATAATCATTGCAAATTAAAAATTTTTAGTGGTTGCCTCTGAGTGCTGAGTACTCCTCTTAAACTACACCACTACCTCATATGAGAAAGTGTTAATGATTAATAATTTTAATCAGTGTTATTGAAAAATAAAATTAAGGAGTAAATGGATTCATTAACATTGTTAGTTGATAGAAGCATTGATTAGTAATTCCCTCACTGCTAAGGTCAGTACACGTTTTCCTCGGATAGTGGAAGGTGAGATCCGGATGGTGA